CGGAAGAGGGGGTAGTCTTATACGGCGAGTATATAACAAACTCTGTATTTTGAGTGGAAATGTTAGGGGGTCGTCTTATACGCCCAGTTGTCTTATACGCTGGCAAATACGGTATGTTAAAACATAACTATTATTCCAAAGGCACCATCCTGTTTGCCTGCATATCATTATATTCCTTCTTATTTAAGCTTTCCTCTTATCTCCTTCTCACCCACCCACAAATCCATATACTCGTTTGCCAATGTAAAATTTAATTTTGTTAATTGTCTGTATGCATTCACAAGAGGCTTAGTTTAGTAGGTTTATGGTACACACATTTTTAGAGTGTTTATATAGATGGTCCCAATAGGGGAAGCCTGGGAGGGGGCAGTGGACATCTAACTGAGCAATTCAGGGAAAAGGCATCTGGGTAGATACATGTAGAGTGTAGACAGGAGCCTCAGAGTTAAATAGCCTCAGGGATGGGAGTTGGTCAGTTGCTGTGCTCTTCCTTGACTCCTTGTATCATTCCTATTGGGATCACAGAAATATTTTTTTCTTTTCTTTTTAAAATTAGCTCCTCCTTTATTTGTCGAATGGCCAGAAAGTTTAACGAGGCCTCGAGCTGGCACTGCTCGATTTGTATGTCAGGCAGAAGGAATTCCCTCACCCAAAATGTCATGGTTGAAAAATGGAAGGAAGATACATTCCAATGGTAGAATTAAAATGTACAACAGGTAAGCTATGCCATTTTGCTGCTGTTTCCAGAAAATATAATAATGGCTTTAGTAATTTTTATGTGAAATGGCTATGATTAAATCAAGTAGTTTAGCTATCTTGGTATTTTAAACTAAACTAAAATAAATAAGAAATTAACCTAAAATTATAACATCAGCATGCCATAGATCCTTTTCTATTTGGATCATGCAAGTGGTTAATTGTAGTAAAATGAATGTCGGACAGTTCCCTAAAACTGGTAAGCCACTTGGTAAGCCACTTGCTAAGTTATTAGCAAGCATATTAACTCAGGGATCTCAGTTCCTTTTTCCATAAATGAGGAAATTAGGAGGAAATAAGTGATTTTTCTAAGAATCCCTCCACAGTTCAAACTTAATAATTTGAAGAACTCACTTTTATTAATATAAATATGAATCTTCTTGTAACATTCTTATTTATGTTGCACAAAACTTAAAAATTTTTTGTTGACCTGAATTTTATGTAACATTGCAATATTATGTAAATCAGATGCTATTAGAAAGTAATATAGTTTCTTAATAAATGCCAGCTTTTTAAAAAAAGGTTAAGCTGTCATATAAAGCAAACAGGATTTGTATATCACAAACACTTACTTATGTAGACTCAGAAAATAAGAGTAATTTTAAGTAATTCATACAGATTTTTCAGTAGGGTTGATTATACCTTGATTTTTTTTGCTCGTAGTAACTTGCGTCATTTAAGATGAGAGTACACTTAGCAATAATTTTTTATTTTGACACCATTCTTAGAATTTTTCATAAAAATAAATAATTTTTTTTCCTTTCCTCAGTAAATTGGTAATTAATCAAATTATTCCTGAAGATGATGCTATTTATCAGTGCATGGCTGAGAACAGCCAAGGATCTGTTTTATCTAGAGCCAGACTGACCGTAGTGATGTCAGAGGACAGACCCAGTGCTCCCTATAATGTGCATGCTGAAACCATGTCAAGTTCAGCCATCCTTCTAGCTTGGGAGAGGCCACTTTATAATTCGGACAAAGTCATTGCTTATTCCGTGCACTACATGAAAGCAGAAGGTAAGCAATTTGAGAAGTGTTTATTTTATTTTATTTATTTATTTTTTTCCCCAAGATTTTTTTATTGGGGAATTGAGGGAGGGGAACTGCACTGGGGAATCGGGGGAAGGGGAACAGACAAGTTGCTGTCCTTTTGTTCTTCAGTCTAGTTGTGGAGGCATTGCTTCACTGGGCCGATTTGGTATTACCATTGTGCTCTTCCTGGGTGAGGCAGACCTGTTGCTGGTCTCTGGATGGTCGCTCACAATGGCTGCCAGCCATTCACACTGGCTGCCGGCCACACACGGTAGCTTATGGCAGCCCACTGCAGCAGGGGCTGCAGCCTATGCCATCATCAGCGACGCACGGCAGCCCATCTCCAGGTCGAGTTGTTGTTCACCATCTTGACTGTAGAGGGCAGCGTAACTGGCCCTCATGTGGGATCCGAACCGGGGCCCTGCTGCTCAGAGCTGGCGTCTCAAGCCAGCTCTTAACCAATACGCCACTTGACCGGCCCTGAGGAGTGTTTATTTTTAAGTGCCACTTGCCATCCAGGATTTGTTTTCAGTATGAACGATATACATAATCCACAAAGTGTTTTAGAATTTCTGTGGTATTTATCTCTTTTTAATAAAAAAATCTATCACCTGTGTATCTATTTGTTCTGAATTTTGTATCGTTGTACACTTTGTGTATATAAGTATAGTTTAAGATTTTTCTATTTAGAAATCTCTGCCAGGTAAAGTATAGAGTGGTGTATTTATGAATTTCATTCCAGCAAAGATATAAATTCCTTAACTAAGACTTAATATGCCAATTTAAGTATGCAGTTATAGGACCAATGGTGTAACTGCTTAGTAAAATAATATGGTGAACTGTAGTCACTATAGCATGTTATTTTTAAGGGGGAAAGTAAACATTATCAAATTCCCCATAAATTTGATTTTGAATATTTTGAATGTTTCTGAAATCATATAGAAATCTCTGAAAATTAAACGACATTATTGATATCTCATTTATTATATAAAAGTAGAAATCAGATCTGTCTTCAAATTTTTATTCAGAACTGTTAGTTCCATTTCTGGAATCTTTTTTATCCTTATATTTTCTTTTGGCAAAAATTTTAGAGGATAAGAAAAACTACTTATAAATCCCAGAGAGTTCTCTGTTGATTTTTCATAGAAATCATATTAGAGGTTTATAGAGTATAGTTCTGTATACAAACAGCCTCACTTTTATGCAGTAGACATTAAAAAGAAATTTAAACACCCAAAGAATGATGATGTAATAAAATTGTAGAAACAGGTGGTTTGTTGTTGTTGTTTGTTTTTTGTACTTTGAAGTCATATACTGAAAAGGAATATTTTGAATTTAAATCAGGGGTCATGGTAGCAAGAAGAATGGAAGTCTGATAACTGAGCATGTTGGAGTATGCTAATTCCATTTTTAGTGATTTAGGAAGGTAAAAGGAATGCTGGCTTTGGAGGAGACCACTCTTGTTCGCTATTATGGCTGTTTCATTAGAGCCTCCACATGTGGCTCAGTGGTCTATTCAGGGACGGAACAAGGCTTTTTAATTCGAACGTAAGGACCTTGTTTGGTAGGTCAGAAATCGTACTATGCAGTTCCTAATTAACGGGCCATTAGCCAGTCTGTTGTGAAATGCCTGTAATCTTGTCTAATTAAAATGCTATCAAGTTAATTCAGAAATGTGGGAAAACTTAATAGTGGAATTTGCCTTCTGTTTTGTTTATAAATCCAGCGTGGGGAGAAGGGGCTCTGTCTTTAGAGAGTTTTGATTAAGTTGACGTGCATTGACTGTGAATTGTTCACAAAGCACAGTAGCCACCGTGCTCTTGTTCCACTTTATAGGTTTGCTCTGCAGGAATTAAATTCCACAAAGACAAATCCTCTTCTGTACCTTGCCATGCATATTTTAATTAACAATTGCTGAGAATTTTTTCCCTCTTTGGAAAAAAAAAACTCATTGTGAAACAAAGTGTTTTGAAGCACATTCTGTGCCTCCCAGTTCTTTTGCTTTCAACATAAATAAAAGAACAACTTGTGTCAGTCAAAGTTAATAGAATCTCTAGGGGCAAAATGAGATCTTTGGCAGGACAACTTTTGGTTTGGTTTGTTTTTATAAAGAGTAGAGCCATCACATTCCCTACTGTTTCTCCATTTATGTTTAAAAGAAAAAAGAAACCATAGGTTTAAGCAAGTAAAATTTACACTGTTCTGAATTACAGTATTCTGCAGTGTTAAGCTCTGTTGTGTTAACTGCTGTATATTGTCTCTGCTGTGGGTTTTGACTAGATGTTAAATGAAGTTTAGAGAAGATTAATTCTTTTCAGTTTGATTTATTCAGGAAAAATGCAAACTAGCCATTTATACCAAGACATGGTTACTTTTAGAAAACAAAGACGTTCCTCTTCACATTTTTTAGAGGATCACAAAAGGTAACTGATAGAGAGTAGACTCAAGAACCAGTGTTTTACAGTGAGAGAAAATGGTCTTGTGAATTTTATTTTGACTATTTATATTTTTAAACGTTCTTTACTTAGGTTTAAATAATGAAGAGTACCAAGTAGTCATCGGAAATGACACGACTCATTATATTATTGATGACTTAGAACCTGCCAGCAATTACACTTTTTACATCGTGGCATATATGCCAATGGGAGCCAGCCAGATGTCTGACCACGTGACACAGAACACTTTAGAGGATGGTAAGAAAACACGATTTGAGTTCCTTTAAGTATGAACATTAATATATTCAATCAATTTCCATAAATAAATGTGTTTTAATTAGACAAAATATCCTCTTTGGTTAAAAAAAAAACCAGATGTGGTAACGAGCAGGGTAATTTGCCCTTTCAAACCTGACTCTTGCTTTTTTGACAGTAACATGTGAAGGGTAAAAATAACTTTTATTTATAATTTATAATATAAATTTTAATAATCTTGTAGTTAAAAAATTTTAAATTCTTGTATTTTCCTTGTGTTTCTTCAAGTGTCTTAGTTTAATTTGTAAATACATTGCAGTTTTCGTATATTTTTTGTTGTCATTACTGAGTAGTGCTCCAGGCATGAAGTAATACAATGACAATACATATTGAGTGTATATCATGAACGGAGGTCAGAGATAGGGGACTTCTGACATTGAGAGTTTATGAAATTTAGTACCTGTCATTTAAAATAATTCTTATAAAATCAGAGAGCAGTTAGTTTATTTTTAGATACAACATGCTTATTCTACTTAAGGAGGAAAATAATAGTTGTTCAGTTTGTTACCTGACCGTGGGTTGGATACTGAGCTGTGCACACGTCCAAATACTCTTACAGGGGTGGGAAATTAAGTCCATTAAGAGAGTCCTGGAGAATTGATTCTGACTCTCATCTCTCTTTCTGCAAGGGCTCTAGAAGGCCTGTGTTTAAACCCTGCAGTGTGAAAAGGGAATTATTTAACATGTGCTTAATTATATTACTTTCCCTTTACAAATGTTTTCTCATCCTCAAGAAATGGTCCACCCTTATTTTTCAAAATATTTTTATATAAGTGATTCCCTAATCTTTTTCTTTGTTCCTTTCGTCCCATATCTCTTATGTATATCTCTGTAATGACACTTGCTTAGATGTTTATAAATTCAGAGTTTGAGTAAATGAAAAAATTATCATTGATCTGGATACTGAATTTCAAATTTCTGTTTTTATTTAAGAGTCTGTCCCATTTTAGAGTGAGCCATAGTGCAGTATGACATTTCTAGTTATCTCATTATATTTAATAACCTGTGACATACATACCTAAGGTAAAACACAGGTTACAGGTTAGTGTGTTTTGTTTTTTCACTTTTTTGGGTGTGTGTGTGTATGTTTGTATGTATGTATGTGTGTATAAGGTGTATTCACCACCACCACCACCACCCATATCCTTGAAGAAAATGAATCTAAGCATAGCAAACTAATTGTTAAAACTTTCTAATTCCAGTTAAGTTATGATCTGAAAGTTTTTCTTTTTTAAAACCTTTCCTTACTCTGCAACATTTTTATTTAATGAAATTTCTTTCTGTTTTCTGGATAACATACAGACCTCAGACACGGCTTTTCAAATTTCTGCACGAGTTTCTCCCCATTTCCTAAGCTCATATTTCTCAAGCTGAGATGTGTGTGTCTCCTAGGGTGCACAGCAGTGAACAGCCAATACAACTATTAATAATACTTGTGGAGCACTTATCCCTGCCTGTTCTCAAGAACCTTCCCTCCATTGTCTCATTTAATCCCTCCATAACCCTGTGATAGAAGAATTATTGTTCTATAAGCGATTGTAGAGTATAAGGGATAAGAATGTGTGCTCTGTGTGGTGTGCCTAAATCTGCTCCTTCACTTACAAGCTCTGTGACCTTGGGCAAGTGACTTGACCTCTTCATACTTCAGTTTCCTCAGCTATAAGAAGGAATGGTAATGGTACTTCTTTCACCGGTTTTTTTTTTTTTGGTTTTTTTTTTGAGAATTTATGAGTTTGTATCCATAAAAGACTCAGAAGTGCTTAATAAATTGATTTTCCCCTTTTCCACCTATTTTCATTCATTCAACAAATACTTTCTGAGTACTTGCTATGTATGTGTTATTCAATATTTAGCAGTGAACAAAAGGCAAAAAATTGTTCCTGACCTCATAAAGCTTACTTTCTAGTGGGAGAGGAGGCAGAGGAATAATAACCATGACAGATAATCATGTTAGATAGCGGTAAGTGTTGAGAAGAAAAGGAGCAGGGAAAGGGAGGATAAAATGTTGGGCGGGTTTGAGACTTTAGACAGAGTCACCAAAGAAGGGCTTACTGAGTAGGTGACATTTGAATGAAGACCTGAAGGAAATGAAGATGAGGGAGCTGGCTGGGCAGATGACTGGGAAGTGCATTCTAGGCAGAGAAAATGGAAATTGCTAAGAGCCTGAAGCACAGGTGTGGCTGTGGGGCGAGACTCCGGAGGGAACGAGTGGAAAGCAGTAAGAGATGAAGCGGAGGATTAATGAGAGCTGACCTTATACTCACAAGTAGGAAGGGCTTTTCATGAAGCCACAATGAGGACTTTGGCTTTTACTTTGAAATGGGAGCGATTTTGAGCAGAAGAGTAACAGTATCTGATTAGCATTTTAACAGCAAATGTGTTGAGAATTGATGGTGGGACAAGGGCCCAAGCAGGGAAATCTCTTAGGAGGCTGTTGCAACAATACAGGCTAGCAGTATTGGTGACAGGGACCAAGGGGATGGCAGTGGAAGTCGCAGCCACACGGGATTGAATGTGGAGTGTGTTTGGAGGAGTCAAGGATGGCACCAGTTTTTGGCTTGAGCAGTTAGACAAATAATTGCCATTAACTGAAATAGGAAAGACTGTAGAAGGAGCTATTATTATCCTCATTTTGTATATGAAGAAACACACAGAAGTTAATTTGGCCACGATCACATAGAGTAGTAAGTGGTAGGACATGGATTCAACACACAGAGGCTAGCTTGAGAACCTATCTTAACTAGACTGCCTCTCACTATACTTGACTCATTTTCCAGGCGTGCCAGTGGTATTAAAATTATTTAGAGGAAAAACATTGTTTTTATATTAAGTACCATATATTATAATTGAGGAAACAAAATTCACACCAATTTTTAAGATACCACTCTTACAGATCAAAATATTGTTTGCCAGGTTATAACCCTGGTGTCCTAAGCTTCCCCACTGTTGTAGAATTCTCTCTTCTTTGTTTCTAAGGCATTTTGGTGGGAGTATTTGAGAAGTATTCTCATATTTTGTACAAGTATTAAGTAATCTCAGATTCATACCCAACAATGACAGCAGTGATGACAGCCTTGCCTTTTCTGCCTCCCTGTCGATGCTTGGTCTGCCCTCATTATTTTTCCTTCATTTTTCTGGTCTGTACTCTGTTTGAAAAAATCTCTGCAAGGGCTGAAAGTATCTCTTCCTACATTATGTGTTGTTGTTAAGAGAAGTCAATAAATACTGGTGTGCTGATGGACAGCTTTGATGCAAAATAGTGATAAGCAACCTGTTTCTTACATAACTAGTTCCCTTGAGACCTCCTGAAATTAGTTTGACCAGCCGGAGTCCCACCGACATTCTCATCTCCTGGCTGCCAATCCCAGCCAAGTATCGGAGGGGCCGAGTGGTGCTCTACCGCCTGTCCTTCCGCCTGAGCACTGAGAATGCCGTTCAAGTCCTGGAGCTCCCGGGGACCACGCATGAGCACCTTCTGAAGGGCCTGAAGCCGGATAGTGTCTACCTGGTTCGGATTACTGCTGCCACCAGAGTGGGGCTGGGAGAGGCATCAGTGTGGACTTCACATAGGACACCCAAAGCTACAAGCGTGCAAGGTACATTTCTAAAGATGATTGAGGAAGGGTAACACTGCATTCATACTTTGACTCTATTTTTTCTTATCTACATTTATATTTTTAAATATTGTTTTATGAATAAAAGTATTCCATAGATCATGGACCTAATTGAAAAAATTTTTCAACTTTTTATTAAGTAGTCCCTTTTTGCATAGAACTCATTAGTGTGTAAAACTTTGGGTTACACTATTAGTTTGCTTAGCAAATCCTTCATGGACAGATTAGTGCAAATCAAATGGAATTATCAAAATTGCATACACACACACACACACACACACACACTAATAGAGACCTAATTAATATTGTTGCCATATATTTTTTAAAGCTTCAGTTTAATAAAAGACCATAAGACTAGAAAGTTCTCAACCGCCCTCTTTTACTAATGTAGAATGTCACATGACTGATTTTGTTGTTGTTGTTAATTGATTAATAATAATGCCTGTTCTATCACAGGAGAATATGGGATGGTCGAAATTAGAAAGTACTTATTGCCTCTTTGAAAAAATATACAAATATAGCTATAATTTTTTCTAATTTACATGCCCTAGTCTTTTTAGGTAGTATTTTATATATTTAATTCTGTCTCAAAGTTTAATGTCATTGTGAAATGTTTACATTTAGGTTGAAGTAGAATTGTTGGAATTGAATTTTTTTGCAACTGTTGGTTTAAGACTGAGAGATCTACATTCTCCTGATTTTCATGTGAATTATGGGGATTTTATACATACATATATGGTGAATTTTTCTAGCCCCTAAGTCTCCAGAGTTACATTTGGAGCCTCTGAACTGTACCACCATTTCTGTGAAGTGGCAGCAGGACGCTGAGGACACAGCAGCCATTCAGGGCTACAAGCTGTACTACAAAGAAGAAGGGCAGCAGGAGAATGGACCCATTTTCCTAGATACCAGCGACCTTCTCTATACACTCAGTGGTTTAGGTGAGTGAGCCTGCACTGCACTTTTCCTTTTTTCCTTCCTCTCTAACCAGTTGAGAGAAAGGTTATTGGGTATAGGCCAGTAGACCTGACTTAATGGTAAAAAGAAAAGAATTGACTTTGCTCCATCACTGTGTATATCTTGCTGCTTAAGTCACTGACTGGTCTGTGACTCACCATTATGAGTGAACTAGCAAAATCTCAGGTAACCGTGGTTTCTTTCTATCTTTCCCCCACCTCTGGGCATCTGCTTTTCTTTCTAAAGTTTACTTCTGGTAGAGAGAGATCCTGATCAATCATTGTGGGTGTGTCGTGGATGTATAATAGGAGAGTAAAATAAGAATATCACCAAAGGGTCAGAGAATACACAGTAACTAAGTTTAACTCAGAAATTGCTTGAGAGTGCCATGTAAGTGTATTATTTTACATGTGTAAAATATGAGTAAATTATACCAAATAATTCTCTTACATATGAACCATATAACTGTAAATGTTTACTTTATGTAGCTGTAACCCAGAAACTCTAGAGAAAGAGCACTTAATTTTGTGTTTGTGTTCATCAGAGTTCTGAAAGATACTGTTTTATTCCATATTCATCTTATCTTTGCTGAGTGAAAGAATTTCATGTTGTATAACAGGCTTAATAGAAAGAAAATAAATTAATATCGACAATAAACACATGAGTATAAACGTATATCCTCAAGGTATAAAATGCACACTTAGCTATTTGTTGCTTGTGAGTAGACTTTCATCCTAAGTACAAAGCAGCAACTTTAATTATACTTACAAACAAATCCCTACTGAATTGTTATAGCACCTTCTGCACACATTGGCCTTCACAGTGCACTCAGGCTTTCCCTGTCACAGGCCGCCCTTTGGAGTCTGGGAAGGGAAGAGGCACAGTGGTACCACCACGGGCGGCTCCATTTCCTTCCCTGGCCTCACAGTAGCGCAAGCTGTGAGAGTAGCATTAGACCTGAGTCCCTGTGCAGTAAGAAGCAGTGGGGAGAATCTGTTTTCAGACATGGGGACATAGAACCCCATCCTCCTGTTCTTTGCCGTAGTTTTCCAGATGGCATTTTGCTTATAATCTCATTGAGTCAGATTTTAATGTAATTGCATTTGGTTAAATAAGTTTCACTATTGATCTCTGTCACACAGTTTTATGAACAACGAGAAGTTACATATGCTCCAGGGTGACCTTCCTTAAACCATTGATACTAAGAGGACGTTGCCCAACCTGCTGTCACCAAAGTCAGCAACCTTTTTTCTAGCAGTGGCTTCTCAGGGTACACTCCCTTTCACTGTGCATATAATTTATTCAAGAGCATTCTACTCAGTATCTAGTAAGAAACAGGATTTGGGACAATTGTTGATGGAAAATCATACATCAAACTCACCGTTAAAGAAATAGAAATATGTTGAAAATATATAAAAAAATAGCTTCATGAGCACTCTTTTTGAACAATAACAGGTAGCTTATTCTAAACAGATGAATAATTTATTAGGAGGAAAAAAAAACAATTTTCTGCTTGTGGAAAGACTAAAGAAGCAATTAAAACTTTGGCAGTGAAAAACAATTCTCTAAAATTTAAGCGTTTCTACAGATGCGTGTATATAAGGAAAACTTAGCGATCTTTGTCGAAACTTTTTTATAATCTCAATAATCGCTTTCAATACTGTAAACCTTGATTTCCTCCTGTGTTTTAAAAATAGATCACATACAGACTGCCTGTGTTGTAATATCCTTTGTTATAAAATCATTTGTGTATACTATTTGGGGTATATTTTAACTTAAAATCATGTTATAATGCATAAACTAGGAAATGAGTTTGCTATAGTCAGTATACCCTATGAAAACAGCTCCATATTTCCTGACTGTGGAATTAGACTGACTAGCTGCACTAACTGCCATACAGGGTAACAGAGGACTCCGTCCCAGCCATAGGACTTTCTTGTTGGACGGCAGTTTCCTCACCCGAGGAGTTGCCAAGTCACAGCCACAACGGCTGAAGAGTAGGGAGGTAGGTGTATGGATTCAAGCTTTGGATAGCAGTTGACTGGATCATCTTTAAGAACTCTTTTAATCTTGCTTTCCTAGAAAGTCACTGTTGGGGCTTAGCCAAGTTTATAGAACAAGCGCATGGGTTTAACCCACTAAGCAGCCAAGTGTTAACAGCTCTCACTCCTTTCCTTCTTACTTTTGGCTATCAGGAGGGCAGTATGTTCTGTTAACTGGACAACTGACCATCTGTGACCATTTTTAGGAGAGCATCTGGCGTTAGCTGCCTGTTTAACAGAGAGTGATGTGTCTAGAGGGCAATAGGTTAAGGGAACCCTATCTGTGTCTCGCATGGTGAATACTTGCTTTCTCTGAGCTTTTGCACATTAAAGATACTCTAACTGGAACTAGATTTACTAAGTGGGTTAGGAAATGAAATTAAAATGCTTCTGTTTGCTGATTCAATGTCAATTTGAGTAGCAAACTGATGTCTCAAATTTCATTTTCATACTAATCCTCTATCTGATGCCCTAATACACATTCTTTTGTTTCCACTTCTGGTAATTAAGTTTTCAATAAAAAAGTATGTTATTGGGACACATTTTCCTTTGTTCTTTGTTTCTGCAAGAGATTTATGAATTTTATGTAATTCAATTCATTGAACAAGCATTTTTTAATTTTTCAAAGTAAGGCATTGTAGTACAAGATTTAAAAATGTAACAGATATGACCTTTGCTTAAAACAAGAAATATTAAACCAAGAGATATTAAATTGAATGACTTGTTCACTTTTCTCCCAAATTTCTGATTAAGAAAATTTAATTGCACTTAGTGAAAATTATTTTAGAACATTTTACTCTAAACCATCAAAGCTTTGTTCCCTGAAGTATAGAATATTTTGTTTTTTAAAGTAGCTAAGAAAAATTCTCTTGTCTTTATTAATATAATATAAATATTGGCAGAGCAATGTATTTTGATGTTGCTAGTTCTAGTTTAGTGATTTAAAAAATACAGTTTAATTTTAATTAGAAGTGGTTTACTGTTGGGGGGGTTGGGAAAAAAGCATTGGGGTTATGATTTAATGTTTACGTGTATGTGGTTTGTTTTAAACCGGTTTCAGGTTTTCTGCAAGGTTCTACATCCTTACAGTGATAATTTTTGCTTAGTTTTTTTTTTTCTTGGCACTTTCAATGTTTAGCCTAGTTAGAATAGAATTTTTTAAATGTTTGTTATATTTATCACACAATAAACTGAAAGCAAAATTAATAACATGCTCGTGTTGTCCCCTGGTAACAGATGGATTGAAATAATTTGTTCCTCTTTTTTTTATCTGTTTACTTCAGAAATTGGCCTCAAATTCCAAAGTTAGAGTTTCTAATTGCAGAGGGACTATTTTCATAAGCTGCATGTCAGAAACTATTCTTAATTGTTCAGTCTTTGTATAGTAGAGTGAAAAGGGGGAGATTATTTAGATGTACTGTTGTTAGTTTAGCCTTTAGGACACTGATAATTGATAATCTTTAGTTTCTATTTTGCCTAAGAACTTGTGCTATTAAATTTCACAGAAAGCATGATTAGTGAGTATGAGATTTAGCACCAATTATAAAGATTCAAAATATTTAAAATCATTAGTAATGTTTGTAACTCATAGCTCTTTCTTCTGTTTGAGAAATCTAAAGTTGGAACTCCCAGTTACTGCTGGGAGCAGAAGTCAAAAGAAACAGTCCCTGGTTAATCATGTAACTTTAGAGTCCCTTAGCCAGTTCGCATGGAAGCATGGTAAAATTAAGTCAGATTTCTAAGTATTAACTTTTACCATAATAGAAAAGAATTTGGTTGTGTGGTTATACATCTCAAGAAAGAAAATCAAGAACTACCACTGGTGAATCAAATTGACATAGCTGGAGGGAGTTGTAATCTGTCCTTTAGTCAAGGCAGGACACGATTTTGTGGCATAAAAGAGACTATTTTTATTGGAGAGGGTTCATTGTGAACCTTAGTATAATAGTGATTTTGTGTTGAAGAGAAATAGAATCACTGAATATATGAAATATGGAAGTCACGTTTTAAGGCAAGCCCAAGTCTTTTCACAGACTGTGTTCCCTCATCTCTCTCACACAAGGAAGCCTTAGATAAGATCTTTGGAAACATCCTACAGGTGAAAATTCTTATCCTGTGGTGGTTTTGCAACTTCCTGACTGCACCTCTTTAAGACAGAGTAAAAAATAACACTATATTTTATAATGAACTCTTCCTAATCATGAATAGTTTGAAGTATATCTTTCCATACTGACTTTTAGCCTATAAATTCCTTTCAGATAATCTGGTATCAACTATCAGCTCAAATATCATTATAGATACAGGATTATTCTATTCTATCCCAAAATAACACATAATCAACATCAGAAATAGTTATTAAGCTTTCTGTCCAGATTAGCTTTGACTATATGAAACAATATTGGTTTCTGCAAGAAATCACATTGCATTTATTTTTTAAGAAACCATTTTTAGGATTGGTGTACAAATTCCATTAACATTATTGCTGTAGTTTACCACAGGCAAGATCTTTAGGAACATACCTCACATTTTTTGCCTGTCTTCAATTCTTCCAGTGCTTTACCACAGTTAATTTCCACTTTTAGTAGAAATAGTTCCTCTGAACAGTGTCTGACTGTACTCTTATTCTTTCCTTTCAAAGAATTACAAAGTACATTCCTTTAACTGAAGTTAGTAGACTCCTTAAAGGAATGATTTTGGAAACAACTTACTATGTAGTGCATAAAACTGACTGACAAACTGTTAGTACAAATTATAATAAAATAAAGGAAACTTTTAAAAAAATTATTGTATTTCACTTACTTCGCTATAAAATATGTTTTAAGTTACCTTTTTTTAATGTGTTTCATCTATTATCAAGCCAAAACACATTGAAACTTCAACACAGTCTTTAGGGAATACTAACTCTCTTTTCTCAATTTATCAAGAAGGCAAAAATTGTTTGA